CTTTCATCTCCGCCCCGCTTTTTTTCCCCTGTCCCGACCGCTATTTTGCAAGAAGGAATCCCTCCTGCGTCCAAATCCCGCCTTCTCTAACTCCCGGGTGCATTCACACGACCAGCGATGACCCGCGAGTCGCAGCGGCCCCTTTACCTGCTCTTCCCACGCCAAACGAACTCGGGCTTTCAATCCCCCACCCCAGTGCAGCTGCGACGCAAGCTCCTCCCCCCCGCCGGGATTGGTCGAAACAGGCGATGACGTCACCCCTCACGGATTGGGCCGATCGTCTCCAATCGGAGGCCGAGGGGCGTGGCCAGGGTGGTGGGCGGAGACTCCGGATTGTTGACGGAAGCGGCGTGGCGCGGTATTGCGCAATGAATAGCTTTTATTCTCAAAATGGTGCCTAAATTACCTTTGAAAGCAAATCGATTGGATCTCATAGGGATAAATTCATGAGGACTAGGATTTTCACTTCCTTTGATATAAGACAGGAAGATTAAAAACCACTTAAGACGTGATTGCACCACTCTGCAGGGCTGTTGTGCGATTTAGAATGAGGCAGTATAGATCAGTGGTTCTCAACCTGTGGGTCAGGACCCCATTTGGGGTCGATCGACCATTTCGCGGGGGTCGCCAAGCAAGGCTGTCCGCCATTTTTTTGTCCGCCATTTTTTTCCCCCTTTTCCGGCGGGTGCCTTACCTCCCTTGGGCTGGGCCAGCTGGTGGTCGGCCTGCTCCGTCTCTGCCGCTTGCCAGCTACGCCTCGGCCGGCGCAGGGGGTGGAACCACGCATGCGCGGCGCTCCCGGGCAGGGAAAGTCCTCGACTTACGACCGGTTGGGTAGTCCTCGACTTACGACCGGTTGGGGTTGCAGCATTAAAAAGGTTGAGAACCACTGGTATAGATGAATGCAATTATTAATCATCGCAGGGTCTTGTAATAATTTAAGTTTTGACTCACAATGAAACCCCTGCCGTCCCTATTCATCGAATGCTATTTTTTTTTAAAAAAAAATACTCTGGGGAGCTCAGGCCTATAGACTTCCTCTGTCACTGGAGGTTCTACATCCCGAGGGACCTCTTTGTGCTAATTTTGTCCCCATGAGGCGGTTCCAGATGGGTCCCAAGGGCTAAATTCAAAATACGGGGATTTTGTATTCATTGTTATCAATGAAATAACATTAAAAATTAGTTTTATTAACTTTATGTGCCTCCTGTCACGCTATCCAGTTTCAGAATTGTGCAGGAATTACGACAACCCCCCCCCACACACACACAGCCATGCAACAAAGAAACACCACACACACACACACAGCCTTTTAGCCTAGAGGAAATTGCAAATTTGCAAAAAAACAGGTTATAGAGGCAGCTACAGACCTTAAATTAAGACATATAAGCCTGCATCACCAAACCGCCAGTATTTTTGCTTTCTACCACTTTGACCCCAAGGGAACGAAATTCAGGTTGTAGAAAATTCAGTTCCAGACCTTTTGAAAAGGGGATCCCTGATAATTGATGGAAAATGGCAATTCTGGGCAACTGTTGAGACTTAATGGAACCTCCACATTGAGACGCAGTATATCTCACTTCATTAACTCCAGCAGAGCAAAGAGAGTTTGTGCGTTTCGCATCTGACGGGAATAGTTTGCCCTCGTCAAGGTGTCCCTATCAATTAGGACGTGTGTTTTTTTTTTTCCTCTGTAAGCATCAGACTATTAGATCAGTTAAACACAGACATTCTCAGTCCCCTCCCCCCCAAAATTGTCCAGGGATCCCACAACTGAAGACCCTTTCCAAAAAGCCGTCCCTTTCGTGGACTCGTATATCCCTCTCCCCAAAAGAACCAAGACAACGTGGAATGTTTCTTTTTTTTTTCTTTTTTCTTTTGTTAAATAAATTTATTCACAAAAAGTTTCAATCTCTTCATTTTCTCTCAATCATCTACTGCACAAAGCCTTCGTTGTGTAGAAAGTTGTTAAAACCAAGCACGATGCCCCGGTCTCTGACCGGGGTGTATATGTGTGTGTGTGTGTCATAGCACACCTTATTTTGGCCCTGAGGGTTTTAGGGGAAAGCCGGGAAAGGAAGGGAAGGAAGCGAAGAAAGGAAAGAAAAAAAAACACGGATGCGCAGGCGAGGATAATGCTGCATCCCATTCTGAGGTTTCAATCCTCCAATCCTCGTTTTCCTATCAGGTCCATTTTTAGTCATAATAATAATAAAGTTGGAAGGGACCTTGGAGGTCATCTAGTCCAACCCCCTGCCCCAGCAGGAAATGCTATACCATTTCAGACAAATAAATGGCTGTCCAGTCTCTTCTTAAAAACTTCCAGTGTTGGAGCGTTCACAGCTTCTGGAGGCAGGTTGTTCCACTGATTAATTGTTCTAATTATCAGGAAATTTCTCCCCCTTATGTTAAAAATTCTGGGCAATTCAGGAACAACCCCCCCCCCCAGAAGCAAAAAAAAAAAAAAGTTTTAAAAAGCCAAAAATAAACCCGGATAAAATTGTAGGAAACAGAAGCCTGGGGGGGTGGGGGTGAGGGGCCTTTGGAGAAACAAATCACACGCGGATATCGCTTGTTGGTTTTATTACAATTTTTTTTCCCCCTCGCCATTGCTTCCCCGCCCCCTCCCCACCCCCCCTTTTTCTCTGAAGGTTAAAAAGACCCAGGTGCGAGTCTCTTGAGGTAAAAGGGGCCTGAGGGTTAAAAAGGGGCTTGCCAGTCAATACTTTAATTTTTTTTTTGTATTATTTCTTCCAGTGGAAGTCATCCAGCTCGTAAAAAAGTACGTAACCTTCGCTGGAGGGGACCTGATTCTCGCTGATTGGCGACACTCTGCGGAAAGAGGGGAGAAATTGGGGAAGGGGCGGGGGGGGAAGGAGAGAGTTAATATGCCTGGATGCATATTAGTCCTCAACTTACGTACCGCAACTGAACTCAAATTTCCCGTTGCTGGGCGAGTCAGCTGTGAATCTGGCCCCATTTCACGGCTTTTCTTGCCACCGTTGTTAAACGAGTCACTGCGGCGGCTAAGTTAGTAACGCGATTGTTAAGTGAATTTGGCTTCCCCCCTCGGCTTGACAGGACACAAAGAGGGGATCGCGTGACCCCCCCCGGGACGCTGTGACCGTCGTAAATAGGAGTCAGTCAGCCAAGTGTCTGAATTTTGAATCCCGTGACCCTGGGGACGCCATGACGGTTTGACGGGCGAAACACGGTCACGACAAAGTCCCTTTTTTTCCCGTGCCGTTGTAACTTCGAACGGTCACTAAATGACGCGTTGTCAAGTCAAGGACTAGCTGTAGTAAGGCAAGTTGCCAAGTGGCTGAATTTCGATCCCGTGAGCCATGGGGAATGCCATGATGGCCGTTAAGGGTGGAAAAACTAAGCCCTCAGTCCCTTTTTTTCCCCGGGGGATTGTCACGTGGAACGGTCATTAAACAAGGGGCTATGTGTCAAGGGCTGCCTGTACGACACAACTGGATGTTGTTTTGTGTCTTTCGTTTCTCCACATACTGCGGAGAACGTCCGCGGTCGTTTCAACGGGGTGTGCGCCGTTTAAAGGCACCCGCGCACGCTTACCGGGAATCGTTAAAAACTCGCCAGCCAGACTGATCCTTGCAGAAGGCTGTGTAATGACCGTAGTGGACGCTTCCGGAGTGATTGCACAAGGCGTAGAGGTTGTATACTGGGGTGCCTTGAAAAGAGAGAAAAGGGCATGTCAGCTATGCTGGAATACTCTCCTCTGCTTCCTGGAGCCTTAAAGGCCGTGTTTAAAAACGCAGGTTGGATACTACTATTAAATCCTCCTCCTCTTTCCTAATACCTATTCCTTAAGCATCTTAGGGACTAATCACCTGGTGTTTGTATTTATGATTTATGATGATTTACGATTATGATCATGATTTATCACTTGTTGCTTGTCGGTACACTGAGAGCTTCTGCACCAGAGACAAATTCCTTTTGTGTCCAATCACACTTGGCCAATAAAGTATTCTATTCTATTCTATTCCTATTTCTTATTCTATTCTATTCTATTCTATTCCTATTTCTTATTCTATTCTATTTTATTCTATTCCTATTTCTTATTCTATTCTTATTTATTTCTTCTTATTTATTTCCTATTCTATTCTATTCTTATTTATTTCTTCTTATTTATTTCCTATTCTATTCTATTCTTATTTATTTCCTATTCTATTCTATTCTCTATTCTATTCTTATATTCTATTCTATTCTATATTCTATATTCTATTCTATTAATAATAATAAAGTTGGAAGGGACCTTGGAGGTCATCGAGTCCAACTCCTTGCTCTATTCTATTCTATTCTATTCTATTCTATATTCTATATTCTATATTCTATATTCTATATTCTATATTCTATATTCTATATTCTATATTCTATATTCTATTTATTCCATTTTCTGGTCCACTCCACTCCACTCTATTCTTGTTGCTTGTCTGAGAGCTTCTGCACCAGAGACAAATTCCTTGTGTGTGTCCAATCACATTTGGCTAATAAAGAATTCTATTCTATTCTATTCTTAAAAAAGAATCATCCCCAATTCAGGAAATGACCTACCGGCTTTTTCGCTGGCAAACTCCTTCAGGCTGAGCTGCTGGAGGGGGAAATCCACATATACAGAACATTTCTTAATGGAATAGCGGGTGGTGGAAAACCGGTTGAGATCTGAGACCACCGGGGGTTAAGGAGCGAGTAACGGCTTTGCCAATGTCGATTTTTCTCCAAGGGATGCACAAAAGAAGACCTCAACTCAGGCTGGGCTGCTTTCGAAGCCACGCTTAGAGCAGTGTTTCTCAACCTTGACAATTTTAAGGCATGTGGACTTCAACTCCCAGAATTCCACAGCCAGCATTGCTGGCTGTGGAATTCTGGGAGTTGAAGTCCACATGCCTTAAAATTGTCAAGGTTGAGAAACACTGGCTTAGAGGTTTCATTTCTTTAATTCCTTTTATGACATTTACAAGGCAGCCCATTCTTGCTGTTAGGTGACTCTGGAAGGGGGGGGAAGGAGCTTACAACACGTCGCCTTTCTCCCTCTTTCTCCTGCACTTCTCCCACCCCCCCACCCCCCCACCCCCCAAACAAACCAGGAGAGACACAGAAGCAAATAACGGGAAAGGATACGTAGCACGAGAATACGGGGGAAGCGCTGGATGGTCAGTTTCTTGGTGCTTCGGGTCCTCTGTCGGCATTTGTCACATACCTTGGCCAAAGAAA